CAACTGTTCAAGAAAATATTTAGGGGGAACTCGATGAATCTCGAATAGCCAGGGAAATGTATAATATTGAGGATTCCACTCTGCTCCTGAGCACGTTTTTGCAAAAGCTTTTCCCTATGATAGATTTCTGAGCTATCAAAAGCACATTAATTTTTTTTCTGATTAAAACAGCTGTGAAAATATACAATTGTAACTGTGAAAAGCCAAACTTATTGTAATACTTTAAACAAAACAAGAATAAAGGTTTTTAAATACAGACTTGCCCAAAGTGAAATATCCAACATGAGAAGAGTTAATTCTGCGTGTGCTTCTAATATTTTGGCACAAATACTTTAACTCCCTTGTCCATTCCGATGGCACCTCATCTGCAGTTGACTTGTTAAGGGTGAGTTCCTTGGTAATGTCGTCAGCACCCCTCCATAGTTATTGACTGGCTCTCATTAAAATGACAAGATCTCAAAATAACTGAAGTGGGGAGAGGTGGGGAGCAGGCGGGCTCCTCTGCACTCTGCACTCCGGAGGTATGGCAGAGGCACAGCACCTAAGGAGAATGAGGGAAAAGCCGGCAGAAGGAAACTGTCTGGCACCAGGCAGGAGGAGGAGGTCAGCCCTTCCAGAGATGGCACTGGTGTTGGCAGACAGCTTTCATGCTTGTGTCTGTTCCATACCACAAAAGCCAAGTTCAAGTTGATCATATTTGCCCAGAGTTAAATACAGTGACATGTCACATGTATGAAGTCTACTCCTCAACACATGTCTTACCTTCCTGTTGTTTAAAAAGCAAATCCCACCCAGCTCTTATCTTTTACTGACCCAAAAGCCCTTAGGTGAGGAAGGATGAGACCTTCACCAGCCTTGGGCATTTTGGCATTTCCATGTTGCCTTTGAACACTGAGGGGCTCTAGGGCTCCAGCTGGAGTCCCGGGATTTCTGCTTTCAGAGGGACTGCCTGGTGACATCTTAGCTTGCTCACACCCCTGATGTGGGCTTGGCTGGTCAGAATTTTACTAGGGGGCCTAGATTTTTCATTGCCAACCTGTCACCTGGACTGAGGCCCCCCTTGGGCGTTAAGTCTGTGTGTGACTCAAGAACATGCTGGGGTGGAGAAGCTCACCTGAGACATTGGAGGAGAGTCATACAAACTCCCTCTCCCAGTGCTGAAGACAATGAAAGCCTGAGACAGGAGCAAAAGCAGGAAAGAAGGGAAGCAAGAGGAAACAGCAGGAGGGAACAAGTGTCTTCCATCCAACCCTCTCCAGGATCCCATCTCAGCAGGAGTCCTCAAAAGGGGGCTCAGAGTAGATGGCAGGGGAGGTGCCATTTGCTCCCTGCTCCCCATAAGGAGGCTGCTCCAGTATTTCCTCCTCCTCTGAGGAAGGCACTCTCCTGGCCACACATGCCACCAACTCTAAGCTGCCAGGACAGGAGTCTGCAGCCCCTCTGAAAGCAGAAGTCCTGGGATTCCAGCTGGAGCTCTAGAGCCCCTGAGTGTTCAAAGGCAACATGGAAATGCCAAAATGTCTAAGGCCTGTGAAGGTGTCCCATCCTTCCTCACCTAAGGGCTTTTGGGTCAGTAAAGGATAAGAGCTGAATGGGAGGTTTGGGGGATTGCTGATCTCTGGCTGCTCTTTTCTGGCCCCCTAACTTCCACCCCTCTCCTCTCTCCAGCCAGGTGACTCATGCCGCACCCCTAGAGGGTCAGCAAAGAGACTACTTCTCTGAGGAGACCCAGGGGTAAAGGCCAAGGAAGACCAGAGGCATGTCTGCACCAGAGGCCACAAGTCTCCTCAGGCCAGCAGAGTGCGCCCTGGTCCCTGGGCAGCCCAGCACTCTGACTACCTCAGATAAATTCCCTCCAGAAACATACCCTGGCTACAATCTCAGGGTCAGATGATGCCTGTATCCCTGAGAGGTTCCTCATGCCTTTTGCCCCAAAGCCTTTGAATCCTGCGCTCAGGACACCTCCATTCACACCCACCCTCCCTGCATCACCCAGGAAGTACTTTTGAAGGAACTGTCACCTTTCACCCTTTGGGAGAAATACCTGGGTGTTTCCATGCACATAGTCACCCTGTCATTCTCCTTCCAGGTGAAGAGGGGCAAGCTGACACAGAGACCTCCCACAGCAAGGGACTTAGGGCTGGAAACAAGCCTGCTTTCTTCGCGCCTCACGGCTGAGGACATTTGCGTGTTTCCTTCCCTCTCTCCCCCCATTTCAGGTTCTCCCATTCCAGGGAGAAATGTCCCACTTATTTCCTTACTGCTGTATCATTCAAACCTACAGTGGTTATGTATGAGTGGGTATTGTTCTGCAGACCGCACCAGAGGACAGTACTGCCTCAGCCAGCGCGGGCTCGGGGATGATGTCAGGGCCCTCAGGCTTTGGTCTCTGTGCCCAAGAGCTCTCCTGGCTGGACTCTTGTCTGGTCTGTTCCCATCCTGCTTCAGCACCTACAATCCTGCTGGCTCACAGTCAGCATGCAGCAAGCACACGCGGAGAGTTCAGAGGTCACGCTGTAAATGTGGGGTTCACTTGTTTCTGGCATTTTCTCTTTTCCTTCCCCTCCATCAGTGAAGAGAAGACTCACCTTAGTAGAATAAGACCCATTCTGTTCACTGAGTCTTCTATAATGCTTCAAGGGGAAGACAAGGTGTGTGTGTGTGTGTGTGTGTGTGTGTGTGTACAGTGTGTTTGTCTGTCTGTGCGAGGGCACAGGTAAGTGCACATGTGCCCAAGTGTTGAGGGTTATCGTCTAGACATGGGTTTTCACTTTGCTATGTCTCACAGATCCCCCCCCTTCTTCATCGCCTGGGTCATGCACCTGAGCTCGGTTATAATAGGAATTACAATGGATTTGACAGCCTTAGGAGTATAGTTCGTAAAGCAGCTGTCACAGAAATTAGCAAGTTTTGTCAACAGCTCGGCTCCAAGGCAATGGGAGCCTAGGCCAGGACTGGAGGAGTTAACTGAAATGGGGGGGGGGGGTGTTATGCAAAGCACCAAATCCCTAAACTCCCGCAAAGATCTTTGATGGCTGTGATCAATAGATTCTCAGACCACACTGACATAACCTTGTCATGCCTCAGCAAGGGTACAGTGGCTAAAAAAGGCGCGAGGAGGTGGGTAGGTGGGAGGCAGGGCACGAACGAAATGGGGGATGAAGCTATCATGCCCTCCCCCACAGCCCCAGCACCCCTCCTTCTACACCAGTCCCTCTTCAACAGGCATCACACAGCAAGTGACTGGTAATGGTTCTTTGGCCTCGTATAGCTTTTAAAATCCTTCAGCTGAAGCATCGCAGCTCCAATCGCCAGCAAAGCTTGAGCACCCTTGAGACCCTGGTGCAGATAATCATCATCCACTCAGTGACAAGAAGCTGAGCGCCGCTTCGGTACCAAGGAGACCGAATGTGGCGGGGCACCAAGGTGCCATCTTAGACGCATCCAAGCAGCAGCCGCAGCAGCCGCAGCAGTGGCACACAGGGATGAGATGTGTTTGCAAGGAGTTGTGGGGGGGGGGGGTCTCCCTTCTTTATCTCCCTCTCCCCCCTTCCTCTCACCCTCCTCAGAGAATCCTCTTTCTCGAGGGGGATGCCGTTATCTCAGCTGCTCTTAGCATGCTTCCCGTTACCCAGCACCTGCTGGACTAAATTGAACCCTGCAGTCAATACTGTCGGAAAGGAAAATGACTTTAATTTGTGTAAAAGTGTAATCAAAAGGTGGGTGGGTGATTTTTCTTGCTTTCAGAGAAATGCAGCTTTGATTTATGATTTTATAAAAGAGAGCCTGCCAGTCAGCCGCTGCCTGGCTTCCTCACAGCACCTCCCGAGCTCTCTTTGTGCCACACGACTCCATCACCCTGAGCAGTTCTGCATTATGTGGCCCCGGTGCTATCGGCGGCGCAGCTGGTTGGGATGGGCCTGCAGACCAGGCTACCCATGGGTGTCTACTGCCACTGGAAAGTGGAAGAAGCCAACCACAAAGAGTCTCCCCTAAAGCACACATCACTCAAACCCAGCAGCTCAGAACAGCAGCGCATGTCCAGATAGTTTATATTCCCTTTCCACCTCAGGCCTTTGCCTCACATTTTCCATTCACGGGGCTCCCTGGCAAATTGAAGATGGTCTAAACAAGGAATACCACATCTCCTGCAAGTGGTAAAAATAGCTCTCCAAACAGCCCAAAGTATTTTGTTTGCATTGTCTACTTTCTGCCTCATACCTTAACAAGGGGCAGTCCTTGGAGAGGGACAGCTCTGGACAACTGTCCTTCACAAGCATGACTTTGTTTAAGGCCACGTCACCAGACCTGACATCCCTATCCAGAAGCAGATTGATCTCACTGTGAAGCAGTGAGCCATACACAGGCAGCCTGGTGAGGGAGGCCTGGGAAAGGGCAGACGCTCTTCTCTTCTGAGGTAGACATGGCAAACGTAGTTTTGTTATCCCCCAGGGTCGAATGAACGTGAGCTGCTGACCACCATGCTTCAAGAGGTCACTGTAATGAAGCCGAGGGCCTGGGAGAACAAGGAGGAAATTATCTTTGTCCTGAAAGTACAGCAACTTTCCCAAGAACCAAAACAGGGCATTTTAGTATCCCAGAGAGCCTGATGAGAGAAGGCTACATCTTTAAAAGTTATTTAAGGGATTTGCCCTTCCTGGGTACAAGGAGATGGTGACCTCTGTGTGAGACCTTGGTGACTGGGACTGGGGAGGGGAGTCCTGACGCTTTAGCTCCAGGCACTTCCCACCACAAAGATAAAGAAATTTTGCAACTCACCAATATTTGAATTTAGTTTATTTCATTACTCGGTAAGTATATTGACACACAACCAGATTTCAGGCACAGTACTAGACTTGAGGATATGACAATAAACCAAACAAATTAAAGTACCAGTCTCTATGAAATTTATATTCTATCCCTTTCATGAGGGACAAAGTCTTCCAGAACACAGAGGTGCAAACTGAGAGTGATCACTAAGATGTGAGAGACTGAGAGTCATGGTCCTTGGGGAACCACTCCTGGGCCAGAAAGAAGGGAGCCCAGAACTCGAGGTTGACTGGACAGCAGGAGCTAAGAGGTGAGTGAGTGGTCCAGACCTGGGAAAGAGGGAGAGGAGAGAAGGAGGAGGAGGAAAAGGAGCTGGGGGTAGGGCTGGGGAAGGAGTTGAGGCACCTAGTAGGCACCTTTACAGTTCTGCTGAGGATTGAAGCTGCTGGGAGGAAAATATTGCACATATTTGTGGGCTCAGTGTTCAGACTGAGTTACTACTAAATACAGGCAAGAGCTGCTAAGTAGTTTCCTCTGCTCAGTCGCCAGTGACTCTGGGTCCCGGGTAAGGCTGAGCTGTAACACTGCTGGCGACAGGGTAACCTGCTCCTGTAGACTGCTGGAGACAGGGTAACCTGCTCCTGTAGACTGCTGGAGACAGGGTAACCTGCTCCTGTAGACTGCTGGAGACAGGGGTAATCTGCTCCTGTAGACTGCTGGAGACAGGGTAATCTGCTCCTGTAGACTGCTGGAGACAGGGGTAACCTGCTCCTGTAGACTGCTGGAGACAGGGGTAATCTGCTCCTGTAGACTGCTAACCTGCTCCTGTAGGCTGCTAACCTGCTCCTGTAGGCCACTGGTCCCATCCTTCATGACCTAGTCATCCCCCAAAACTTTGTAGTATCTCAGAGCTCAGGCATATCAATCAGTACTCCATCAGAGAGAAAGCCTAGTAACTTGTAAATAGCAATTATTTCTTGAAAACTCCAGCATGCCAACCAAACTCACCAAAAAGCTTACCTTCACCCCTACCCTATGCAGCATTAAAGGGTGCCATAGATTTTACTTCAATGTGATGAGTATTCAGTGTTCAGAGGAATTCTTGAGCCACAAACAAACCTTCCTTGTTCACATCATTCTGAAGTCGTGTCCGGGTACCAGAGAAAAGAGTCCCTCAGCCTCCAGATCATCATGATGTTTCTGGCACTTATGTAAGGGTCCAGTCTCTCTTCTGAACCAATTCCTTTACCCCAAAATCAACATTATGAATCCCGTACTCACATCATACCATCTGATGACTTTGGCACTGCCTTTACCCTGCAGTGAAAAGGCCTTCCCCTTGGTTTCTAGAAACACCATCAGTTTTGTTTACTCATTTATAAAAAGGAAAACAAGAGGTTTTTTTTAAGCTTTTATATTACTTAATATGAGTCAAATAGCAGTCTAAGGTAGGTAAATAAACTCCACCACAATGCCGCGTACATGGCATATTCTCTCTCTCTCTCTCTCTCTCTCTCTCTCTCTCACACACACACACACACACACACACACACACACACACACACACACACACAATCACTCACGCACGTACAACCATCACAAAGCTCTTGGCCTAAAAAGCAGACTCTCCCACAGATGCCCCTCAACATAACTCCACGAAAAGAGGCCAGGACTCAGTCTGCGTCGGCAGCAGCCTGATCTGTGGTCTGCCCGGGGTCAGGAAAACATAAAGCCTCATCCAGACAGCTAAGACAAGCGCAGTTCCTCAGCACGCACAGCACCTGAAGGAGCATAACCTAGGCTGCAAACACAACCCGGATGTGGCTGCTGCACGTGGGATTGCGATGCTGCCGGCCTGGGATGCTGAATGCTCCACTGGCATGCCGAGTGTGGATTAGTTATGGAAAGACTCTAGCTGACAACAAAGAGACGGCCACACAGAGGGAAACAGAGAGACAGAGACAGAGACAGAGACAGAGAGACAGGGAGAGAGACAGAGAGAGGGAGACAGAGAGAGAGACAGAGACAGAGAGACAGAGACACAGAGACAGAGACACAGAGAGAGAGAGAGACACAGAGAGACAGAGACACAGAGACAGAGAGAGACAGAGACAGAGAGAGAGAGACAAAGAGAGAGAGAGAACGAGGCAGAGTGAAGGCAGGACAAGCGACCAAAGTGACCATTAGACAAAGACGAAGCCAAGGTGAGTAAACCGAGTCGCCATCACGACCCTGGAAGGTGATTTTCGCCTTTGCATAGAGGAAAAGTGTATACGGGCCTTTTCTTTACCCAACTTGTAAATAGCTTGCAAAGGGTCAAAAAAAAAGATAAAAACAAACAAGAAGGGAAAATAAAAACCATGAAGACCAAGAAAAGAGAGCCACAGTAACAGGAAGAGAGGAAGAGTGAGCGGACCACGGCCCCACAGGGAAAGTCCACGAGGCAGATTGGATCAGCGTGGCTGCCCGGCTTTCTCCTTGCCGCTCTCTCCTTTGCTCCCGACACTTGAGATCCTTAGAGCCCTCTTTACTGAACCTGTAAATAGTAACCACAGCACACAGACACAACTCAGGCGGCCTCAGCCTGCGGAGGGCACCAGGACACGAAGGGCAAAGGTTTGACCTTGAGAAACACGTCTCAGGCAGTTGGCTCACACACTGAGCAGCCCCAGACTGTTCCTCCCCCTGATGCTTTCTCTGTGAAAGTAACTGATTTTTTTCCTTCTCCAGATCTTCTTATTCTCACTCAAGGAGAGGCTGCTCCCTCCTGTGGGCTCAGGCCTGACCATGTGTCTCCCACCGCCGTCATTGGTGGTGCCACTTGTTCTGAGACCTCCCCTAGCGGTGATGACAATGGACGGTGCTAACCCAGCTCCCTGCCACCTCCACCTTCCCCAAGAGATCCAGCCGCGCTCCAAACTGCCAGGTTGAGTGCGGCCAATGGGAAGGCATTTGCTAGTTGCAAATGTTCAAATTAACACTTACTCCTGTCTCAGAGTCTACAGGGAAGCCAAGCCTGGCTACTAATTACAGTTTTGGGGGTGAAAATCAACAGGCATGTGGCAAGTCAAGGCCTTGGTGCTGAACTGAAATGTCTTCATTAGGCTGCAGCACTTTGGTATTTAAGGCCTAAGAGCTGGGGAGAGAAGCCTGGGCACAAAGGGGCCTCACCTGTGCAGGTCAGGCCTTGCCAGTGGCCCTGGGTTTCCGAGGCCCAGGCTGCCTCTCCCAGCTCAGTCAGGGTTTTCCCTCATGGTAGTTAGGGAGGGAGTTGGCTCAGGACCAGCGGAAGGTGGGTAGAGAGTGTACGGAACAGTACAGCTGCCCAACACAGCTGGTCCCTTTCTACTAAGCAGTACGTGACTACGCCCGCCCTCTGCACCCAGAGTCACCTCTACACCCACCCTCTGCACCCGGAGTCACCTCTACACCCGGAGTCACCTCTACACCTGCCCTCTACACCTGCCCTCTACACCTGCCCTCTACACCTGCCCTCTACACCCGCCCTCTACACCTGCCCTCTGCACCCGGAGTCACCTCTACACCTGCCCTCTACACCTGCCCTCTACACCTGCCCTCTACACCCGCCCTCTACACCTGCCCTCTGCACCCGGAGTCACCTCTATACCCGGAGTCACCTCTACACCCGCCCTCTACACCTGCCCTCTACACCTGCCCTCTACACCCGCCCTCTGCACCCGGAGTCACCTCTACACCCGCCCTCTGCACCCGGAGTCACCTCTACACCCGCCCTCTGCACCTGGAGTCACCTCTGCACCCGGAGTCACCTCTACACCCGGAGTCACCTCTACACCCGCCCTCTACACCCGCCCTCTACACCCGGAGTCACCTCTACACCCGCCCTCTACACCCGCCCTCTACACCCGGAGTCACCTCTACACCCGCCCTCTACACCCGCCCTCTACACCCGCCCTCTACACCCGGAGTCACCTCTACACCCGCCCTCTGCACCCGGAGTCACCTCTACACCCGTCCTCTACACCCGCCCTCTACACCCGCCCTCTGCACCCGGAGTCACCTCTACACCCGCCCTCTACACCTGCCCTCTACACCTGCCCTCTACACCCGCCCTCTGCACCCGGAGTCACCTCTACACCCGCCCTCTGCACCCGGAGTCACCTCTACACCCGCCCTCTGCACCTGGAGTCACCTCTGCACCCGGAGTCACCTCTACACCCGGAGTCACCTCTACACCCGCCCTCTACACCCGCCCTCTACACCCGGAGTCACCTCTACACCCGCCCTCTACACCCGCCCTCTACACCCGGAGTCACCTCTACACCCGCCCTCTACACCCGCCCTCTACACCCGCCCTCTACACCCGGAGTCACCTCTACACCCGCCCTCTGCACCCGGAGTCACCTCTACACCCGTCCTCTACACCCGCCCTCTACACCCGCCCTCTGCACCCGGAGTCACCTCTACACCCGCCCTCTGCACCCGGAGTCACCTCTACACCCACCCTCTACACCTGCCCTCTACACCCGCCCTCTGCACCCGGAGTCACCTCTACACCCGGAGTCACCTCTACACCCGGAGTCACCTCTACACCCGGAGTCACCTCTACACCCAGAGTCACCTCTACACCCGCCCTCTACACCCGGAGTCACCTCTACACCCGTCCTCTACACCCGGAGTCACCTCTACACCCGGAGTCACCTCTACACCCGGAGTCACCTCTACACCCGGAGTCACCTCTACACCCGCCCTCTACACCCGGAGTCACCTCTACACCCGCCCTCTACACCCGCCCTCTACACCTGGAGTCACCTCTACACCCGTCCTCTACACCCGGAGTCACCTCTACACCCGGAGTCACCTCTACACCCACCCTCTACACCCGGAGTCACCTCTACACCCGCCCTCTACACCCGGAGTCACCTCTACACCCGCCCTCTACACCCGCCCTCTACACCTGGAGTCACCTCTACACCCGTCCTCTACACCCGGAGTCACCTCTGCACCCGGAGTCACCTCTACACCCGGAGTCACCTCTACACCCGGAGTCACCTCTACACCCGGAGTCACCTCTACATCAGACCTCCCTTCCCACTAACGCCAGCGGCATTTTCCGACCACGCCAGCTGTAGCAGCATCTCACCCTTCACTTGCTCGGAGCTCTTTCCCCACTACCCTGGTGCCAGCGTGAGCACTTTGTATAGACAGCCACCCGGTGTCTGCACCGCTCTTCCCTCCTGACAGTTTCCCTCTGGAAAGCAGCAGCTGATCTTGGGTGACTCTCATGCACCACGCCCTCAAATACTACCTCTCTATCTTTCTCTCTGTGTCCTCTCGGGGCTCCAGTTAAGCGTGTGTTGGAGTTCTCTGGTATGTTCTCAGGTCTCGTAACTTTCTCTTCATGGTTTTTCATCTCTTCAGAACTTCCTGCCACACTTTGCACTATTTGTCACCTCAGCCTTCCAGTTTCCTAATTCACTTGCTCACTTGGGTACATGGCCCACTAAGCAATTTTAAAATACACCTATGAAGTCTCTGGTGGCCCTTCCTTCAGGAGGTGAATCTAAGTCCTCTCCTCTCAGGGCTGATTTTACTGAGTCTCATTTAGTGAACAGACCCTGATAGAGGCGACACTACCTAAACCTACAGAGTTGGTCATAAGCGTGCTGAAGCCACCACACTCTTGACTCTCCGGAGTGGATCTGCTCTAGAGGGAGCCAGCAGCTGTGATGGGAGAGCACACAGGGAGAGGCACCTGGGGAGGAACTGACTTGTGTTGTGTTGTGTTGTGTTGTGTTGTGTTGTGTTGTGTTGTGTTTTGGTGGCTGTGCAAATTAGAAGCAGTGTCCTCAGATCCACAGATCTGGTTGATGTCTTAACTACAGCCTCCTGGGGACTCTGAACTAAACTAAGGCAGCTAAGCAGAGCCTAACCTCTTGACACAATGGTCAAATAATATATTTATTCCTTTATGCTGTTTGTTTACTGCATGACTTGTCAGCTGACACCCCAGGCTGGTTTGGTTGGGTTTGTTTTTGTAACTCTTTCTTCATTGTTGAAGATTCTGATTTTTCCTAGCCAGCTTTTCTTGTTCACTGTCCTCTGTTCTTATTTCATCATTTCTAAGCCCTGTCTTATTGTTGGAAACATGGAGACTAAAGTTACTTTTCCCTTCTCCAGGCTGTTCACTTCTTTTCTCTTGCACATTGGTTCATCTGTTTTCTGAGCTTGGTGTCTGCCTTTCAGGCCAGGTTTCCTAGGCAAATGTTCAGCATGAGCCCCGGGTTCTCTCTTCAGGGCTGCTACTCCAACCCTGGGCACGAGAGCAGGGTGTTTCTGCTGCCCCTTCTCGTCTTTACCAAGGACTGTGTGCTCTCACACCAGGCAGACAGTGTAGTGAGATCCCAGCCCACCCTGAGTCCTGTTCCACCTCTCTCCCCATAGGCCTCCCAGCTCAGGCATTCAAATCCCCAGCAAGGGTCATGTGCTGAGCTGTTTTGTGGAAACTTCTCCATCTCCAAAATGGACATTTCCTCTCTTGTTATAAGCATGGCCTTGAGCTTGGAAATGCTTTCTCTCCTTGTTTATAGATAGAAAGGGATGCTTTGGTCTCTGGACAACCTACTTGCATTGGTCCAGAATTCCGAACGTTTGCACACTTAATTTTTCTCTCTCTCTCCTCAAATTTTATCTCTTTCTCCTTTAAGTTTCTAAAAGTCAGGGTCAGGATCATGTCCTCTTCAGTTCATCCTTATTGAAGAGCAAAATGCCTTCAACCCAGACGCTGCCCTATCAGTACTGAATCAGCTGACGCTTCTTGATTGGAAAGGGGAACAAAATTCTTCCTCTTTGATCAGGACTCATGGCCTTCGGGTTTAGGACCCCCGAAAGATGCGTCTTAAGCTTTGGATCACAGAAATTCTGAAAATCTAATAGACCCTCACTGAAGAAAAAACAAATGTGCAACACAGGAAATTCTGCCTCCTATTTCAGGGAGCTACGGAGTTTGAAAATGCATCCTAAAATAAAAGCAGCTTCTTCTTGTGTTAGGACTTGTCCTTTTCTTGCCACTCACCATCAATGCCCTTTTTGACCATTAGAGTCCCAGTGTTCTTTCTTGGCTGATGTGAGGCGGAGGGCCCGAGAGCTTGTGTGACAACCTGGCAGAGACGTCTGCTAGAAGCATCTTCAGGCTCTGCCATCCCCACACCCGGACCGCTTCTCCTCTACAACACCAAGTGCTCTCCCATGCACAACAACCATCAAAAGTGAGAACTAACTGCAATCCTGCCAGTAAAAAGCTGTTGGCTACCAATCTAGACCGGGGACTCCACCTGCTTTATAAATACTCCTTTGTGTCTGAAGTTTTGCTGTGGATCAATAATGTCAACTGCAGTGTTCGTCTAAAACTGGGATGTCTAACCTCAGCCCCCTTAGCTGGAGGAGCGTGTGTCATGGTCCTACCTGTCATTCAACGTCACTTCAACCGGCACTTACTGATGCCTGGTATAGACCAAGCACAGCTCTAAAAATGACCAAGACCCCAGAGAGTTCATTGGCTAATGGAACAGTAGACACGAGACACATCAGTGTAACAAAACGTAAGTGGTGAGCTAGAGGGATGCACAGCGTGGAGGCTCAGGGCAGGGCTTCCACTGTGGACCATACGTCTGCAGGAGACAGGAGTGGTGACTGGCGCTGGGCAGAAGACAAAGCCAGAAACCTGAAGGAACCTAAACTCTGAAGATTGTTTTGCAAGGTTGTATGCTAAAGGCAGTGAGGGAGATCAATCAGAGGAATGTTATACAAGAAAAGCAAATACACTTAATGTGGCTGGGTTATGGTTTTGTTTGTCTTTTGTTTTTTACTACCAGTGTTTTGCTGTTTGTATTTTTAAGGATTTATTTACATGTGTGACTGTTTTGCCTGCATGTACGTGAGTGCACTCCATGCATGCCTTGTACCCTTGGAGGTCAGAAGAGGTTGCTGAGCTCACCGGAACTAGAATTATGGACATATCGTAAGCCACTATGGGGGTGCTGGAAACCAAACCTGGGAACTCTACAAGGGCAACCTGTGGTCCTCTTAAATGCTAAGCCATCCTCCAGCCACCTCCTTTCGTGTGTGTGTGTGTGTGTGTGTGTGTGTGTGTGTGTGTGTGTGTGTAGACAAGGCTGGCCTTGAACTCAGAGATCAGCCTGCCTGTGCCTCCTGAGTGCTGGGATTAAAGGCATGTTTCATCACACCCGGGCCCTATTTAGTTTTTTTAAAAGGTACTTATAACAAGGAAAAAAAATCACAGTTAGTTCCAAAAGTTAAGAGTGTTTAAATAGCATCTTCACCCTAGATGGTCTAGAAATTACTAACAAAAATTGTCACGACCCCTATCTAGACTACATAGAAAATTGTACATGAATTTATAAGATGAGACTCTCAAATCTAGAGTTAGAGGAACAAAATATAACTCTTGATGTTTTTGACAAAATTTTTTAAAGGATACACTAAACTAAAATTTAAAATAATATGGTTTTTGAAAAGTGAAGAATAATTCACAAAAGTAAAACACACTAAAGAATTTAAATAGATGGGCTGGAGAGATAGCTCAAAGGTTAAGAACACTGGCTGTTCTTCCAGGGGTCCTGAGTTCAATTCCCAGCACCCACATGGTGGCTCACAACCATCTGTAACAAGATCTGGTTCCCTCTTCTGGCCTGCAGGGATACATGCAAACAGAACATTGTATACATAATAAATAAATAAATCTTTTAAAAAAGAGAGAATTTAAATAGAAAATAATAGAATTCATAAATTTAATATGAAAAAATTTGAAATTTGAGTAAAAAATATACATAATCCATAAGCATAAAATATATTTATATAGATAAAATTCTCATGTGCAAATAAAAAATTTTTTAAAAATCATTTTCTATAAAAATGTAGGTTATTAAGATTATATCCAGAACAGAACAGATGAATTCTACAGAAGAAATTAAAAAGACTGTCAAGGGTTTAGACCAAGAGATTTTAATAGGAAAATTTTTTCAAACAAAACAAAAAAACTTTGACCATCCTACTGCCATATTAAATTTTCCAAGCTACGTAATTTTGGTGAGAGTGCCCGTGTCTGTTGCGTGAATCTACATGTTTCAATACAGAAGCCTGAGAGGACAGCAGAACTCAATGGTCACACATTAGAACAGGCAGAAGGACCCGGACTTACCAGTCAGGCGAAGGGTGCGTACTACTTCCACAGTAGCAGAATTTTCTCTAGACATTTAGCCAATTCAGAAAGATGTTAAGAAATAAGAATGCAGGGGTTTGAAAAGTAACCAAGTGCACATTACTTACATAACCTGTAATGACACCCAGGAAGTTAAGATAGTCAACCACTGAAATTAACAACCCAATCGTCACAGAAGAGAGCTAAAACAATCTACTTCCTCAACAGCGACAATGACCACCTGGTGACTGTCACAGGTAAAGGTTCTGTTTCTAACGTGCAGGACCTTCCTATGGAGCACGTCATGCTCCACATGGGTTCATGGAGAGAGTAGAGAGCACAGACGGGTCAGCCCGTGTCTTAATGGTGAGGTTTGGTGTTGGGTAGCTGCAAATCCCACCTGACTTCATGGACTTTGACTCAAAAAGGACAATGAGAATTTTTGGAATTTGGAAAAAAAAAAGAAGCACTGTTTTGAATTCAAAAATTCTTTTGAAAAAATATCAGGAATGAAGTGAATTTGAACTTCAACTGTCAAAACAAGTTGTAAATCTAGTAAATAAATCAATGAATAGAATAAAAAATACCCAAACAGGCCTGGCAATCAGATTAGAATTTAGTCTAGAAAAGTGGCATTTCAAATTCAATAGGATAAAATAAAATTATTAAGAAGTAGTTCTAGATCAATTGTGTAACTGTCTGGAATAAAACATAAATCTAATCCTTACATGTCATTACATGTCATTCTAAACAGAATTAGAAAATCAAATGTTCAAAACTAATAATGAATAATAAAATATAGGGGCTGGAGAGATGCTCAGGGTTCAAGAGAACGTGCTACTCTCCAGAAGACTTGTGTTCGACTTCCAGCACCCACATCAGTTGGCTCTCAAGGGCCCGTCACTCCAGCTCCTGGAAGATCCAACTCCTCTGGCCTCTGGGCACCTGTACACGATTTAAAATAATCCTTTAAAAAATCAAAAATAATAAAATAAAATATAGACAATATTGGTCCGATCAT